CTTTCAGCACACTCAACAAGAAAAATGTCTGTTGGTGTTGGGTGTGGTAGTCAGAACGGCAACTCACTTGCTCCACGGTGTCCGATCCACCTCAGCACGAAATTAAGATTTAACCATTCACGAACGTGTAAGCCATCTTAAAGTATTGTAATTCATTTTTGTTCAATGAAAATTAATAAATAAAAAAGGACGTTACTTTTGCCGCACCACACACACACACACACACACACACACACACACACACACATATATATATATATATATATATATAATTTTTATTATAAGTGATTATAATAAAACATTTTGAAATCGTTACACAAAAGTTTTCATGTTTCAATAATATGATTGTACTTCTTCAGGCTATGGTAAGTAAATTAAAATGAATTTTAAGGAAATTTAAAAACAAAGTGTTACATCTTTTCCGAAAGTTAAAAGGGGAGCATAAGGTTAGAATTAAAAATAGACTTGTGGGTATGTCTTGATTAACCAATTAAATGTCAGATCTACGCTTAATAGAAAATTAAGCTTGCGTTGTATCGAAACGGTCCGGGTTCGAATCTCGGTAGTGTATGCGCACTGCTGATAAGTCCCAAAATAGGACGAAATGGCTGTTTCTGTATTCTGTTGAGGATTCTTCTTGACTCGATGAATTACTATAATGATTTGTCTAAATTCTCAAAATTCTTCAGACAATGAGACAAACCGAAGTTTAAAGGAATTGCGCTGATGCTTTGAGGAAGAAGTAATAAAAAAATAACCTTTTTGGCCGTAGCATCTGATAAAGATATTTATTGACTCATCTTCAGAATTCCAACCTGCTTCCTGTACGCACGAGTTGCGCCCTGAAAACGCCTGCTATAAAGAGCCACTCAAGTTAGATTACTGTATAGTGTCGTATGAGCATTTCAGACGACAAGAAGTGCAATTCATTAGGTTATGTACGAAAGATAATATCTTACCATAGACTTGAATAGCGTAGAGATCTGGAAAATATCCTGTTGGGGGTCTGTTCCAGTAAGCAGCAGTTCTTGGGAAGAAGATGTCTGAGTGGAACTTACTCTTTACTAATGGAATACGAAGGGAATGAGAATGATTCACCCTCATTGGATGGCGGTTCCCGACTGCATAGGTCTGGACTAGTCGAACCAAGGAATGTAACTCGTCAGGTTTGTTACGAAGGTGATTTCTCCTCCCTGGGAGGAGATACCAGCGAGCGATAGAATTGGAAAGTGTTTGAAAACCGTACAACGGGTTGACTCAAGTCTTGCGAGTGAAAATAGACAAAAATATCTTTAAGCCGTCGAAATGAAATCGCTAATCATCGTGATCGAGGGGTTTTGCGTACAGGTCTTGTTGAAATTGTTGATAACACCAGACTATGCAATCTCTCCGAGAAACTGTAGCTAAGGCCTGCTCTTCATAGTTATAGTATAAACCACATGTCATCTATGTGCGTGTGTAAAAAATGTAGTTGTGCCTGAGCGGAAATCTGCAACAGCAGAAAAGTGTAGCCATCCAATGCACAAATTTACAAGGGACACCTAGCTTGAAGCGATACATATTTATTCGTGTTTCTTTAGTAACAAATTAAACTGTAGTTAGTATGAACACAAACGCACCTGTGTTCAGGAGAAGGCTTTTGACGGTTCGTTTTTGTAATTATTTTCTATCTTTCAGCAGAGTGTTTAGATTGAGGTCAAAACAAAGAGACTGGGTGAATGCCTTACTGCGTCTTGGGCTCTGTCTTTCTACGGGTGCTAATTTCGGGTAGGCGTATTTGCATAACAGGAGCGGAATTTCAGACCCATCACACACACACACACACACACACACAGAAAGAGAGACAAAGTTTTCAAGCAAGAGAAACGAATAGTTTTAAATCGTCAGAAATGTTTTAAATGAAGTATTTTTTTTTAAGGTTGTCATTATTAATTATTGTTTTATGTGATTGTATCCTGTTTTTTTTTTATCATAATTCTCGGGAAGTTTTTTATATTCTTAATAAAGTAACACAGATTGGACATAAAAAAAACCTCCTCCAACTGAGAATATAAATACTTGGATTTGAATTTTGCTTCTTATCGAGTCTCTGTAGTCCAACCTCATGTGGGTATATTTTAAGCCGAAACGTTTTCTAAATTGTAAAAATATTTTTTTTTGATGGTGAATATTAAATTAACAGTTTGTGGGTTAGAATGATTTTTCGAAATATAAGTCTTACTAGTATTTATCTCAAAGCTGGTAGGTGTGGAGAAAAGGTGGATTCCTACCTCTCCTAAGGATATTTGCGTATAAGCGAATGCCTCGAATCATACTAGAATTCGAACTCGACTCTCCGGATTCTCATTACCAATTTCACCACATTATATCCAATTACAGACAGGAACGTTGTGTTAAAAGCTAGATACCAGTTCGATAAGTACAATATACATAACACATAAAAGTTAAGCTTCTATGTCCTTTTCACCTGCATCTATAACATATTTCTGAACGGCCTTAAAACCATACAAGCCATTTTCTCACAGGACGAGGAAAAAACCTAAACAATTACAGGATTTCTTATATTTTGCTCCTACGCGTCTCCATTTTTTCCCTCTGGAAGTAAGAAAGGTCGTCATCTGTAAACGTACATAAAATTCTACCATATCACAGTAGACGGCGTTCACACTCATTTCGTTTTTATAGTAAATTGCAAGGACACTGCTTTTAAAGAGTTTTTCGGCTCTTTACAAACTGTTAAACGCCTTCCCATCGTAATAAAGAACACGGAAAAGAAAGAGACGCGCTTCACGAGACGCGGCTAAAGTATGTCAATGAGAGATTTCGACGGAGATTGTTGGAATTCCACCTGTGTTTCTTTTTTGTACGCGTAGTTTGTTCACACCGTCGAATCTTCTTGAACGACACCGACGAAGCTGGTTCTATCTGGTTTTGTTAGACTTTAACATACACTGGGCTTTTATTTGGTTTTACTTTATTTTCCAACCCGTTACAAATACTTTGATGGAATTTTAGGGTTATACACTCATAGGAAAATATATACTGGGCGTAACAGCAAAATTTTCCAAATCGTGTCACAGAAAAATTGTCCAATTGTTAGGTTAAGCTTTGAACCATTGTATATTAGAAATCATTAAAAATATCTTACTGGAATTCTTCAAGGTTTTTATAACACTATTGGAATCTATTTTGAGCAATAAGAATGTATTTAACTCTAAGTTGAAATGACAATCCCTCTTTCTGTTGTGATCTCCCGATCCAGTTTTTCTCCCTACTGTTTCCTCTTTTTTAAACGTATTCACAATTCTCTTGATGGTTCTTGAGCGGACTTTGAAGATGGAAGCCAGAGTATGAATGTTCGTACTATTAATGAAGGCCTGAATGATCTTGTTCCTCTCACCATTGCTCAGTTAGGAAAACTTAGTGGGGCTGACACAAAATTATTTTAACCTGTTCTCTTTCTAGCTGAGTGATATGTCCCGGAAAGGGATATATTTGTTCGAAGTAGCAAAGAGGTTGTTGACTACTGTAAACGGGTAGGACAATCTAGCAGGTAACCGTAATGGACTGGTCATCGTCGTAGTGGTAGGCAATAGGCGTAGGCAATAGGCAAAGACAATAGGCGCCGTCATGTACCTCCACATCAGTCTGTATTTATGGCTGACACCAGCCAATCATATTACTGTGAGGGGGAACTCAGGTGTATGCATATTCATTACATCACTGAGTAACTTAGTTTTCAGTGATTCTTACAACAAATGGTGTCAAAATGGGTAAACGTCTTATCTGACAGCCTGGAAAAAAGAAACTTAATTAGTTTAGTGTTTTTAGATATTAAACATTTTGTGGGATGGACAATTATCCCATACTGATATACGATTTGGACAATTTTGCCGTTTCACACGGTACATACTTACCTGGTAGATGGTGGGTAGAGTTAATTATCTTTCAGGTGCACCTCTGTCTTCGGACAGAGTGCGGCTCAGCTGTGGCTCTGTCCGCGAAGAGACACACACCTGGGGAAAATAAATACTGTGAGGTTCCCGGTCCTGGGGGGATTAGTAGTCATACCGATGTCAGCACAATCGGCGGTTGAGGGACTAGTGCAATTTTTGTCCTTGTCCCGAAGGTAGGCGCTCGGGTCCCCCCTCCCACATTAAGCCTGACCCAGTGTCACATTTCGTCTCAGTGGAGAGAACGGGGTAAATAACCATACGAAAATATATATTAGGGTGGGTTCAAAATAATTTCCGTTTATGCTTATCAACATTATTTTTCAAGATGTAAAGTACAATTACAGTAATTTCCCATGTATAAAAGTCCTTCATCCATAATACACACACCTAAAATTGTGCTGAAAGTGTGGGAAAATGCTTCTACTCATGCATAATAGACACCCCTTGTTTGATAATCAAACCCTATAAATTGTATCTATCCAATTTCATTACGGCCATTGTTTCCTACTCTTATTAAAAAAATGGTTTTAAACATAGAATAATATTATTCTAATTTAGCTTTATGATAATTCTTATTTTATTTTACGGCAATTTCTTGAAGAAGTTTTGTATCTGTGCATAATACGCACCCCTGATTTTGCTTATTATTTTTTTGGAAAAAAATGCGCATTATCCATGGGGAATTACGGTACATTTTATTCAGTTATATGTACGCATTATTTGCAATGACATGCCACTTAACAGGCACACATCATATTGAAACTCTGGTTACCGTACAGTCACTGAAGTTAAGCAATGTCGACCCTAGATGGGTAACCGCTTTGGAATATCTGGTGCTATAAGTTTGGATGCGCGTGTGGTGTAATGGATACTAACAGAAGTTAGTCTTTTTCTTTTATATGTCGTGTCCATTCAGGACGCAATGATCATGGTCCTCCTCATCTTCATATCTCTTGTATCTCTTAATAAGATTTGTTTTCTTGTTATTTTTCCTAAACACTGTTCTGCCATACATTTGCTCAAGCACATCAAGTATGTCACGCGATGCTTCCCCCTCTCCTTCTTTCCATCTTTCCATCTGTCCCTCTTTCCTTCTTTCCCTCTTTCCCTCTTTCCATCTTTCCATCTGTCCTTCTTTCCCTCTTTCCCTCTGCCCCTCTTTCCCTCTGTCATTCTTTCCCTCTTTCCCTCTGCCCCTCTGTCCTTCTTTCCCTCTTTCCCTCTGCCTCTCTTTCCCTCAGTCCCTCTTTCCCTCTTTCCCTCTGCCCCTCTTTCCCTCAGTCCCTCTTTCCTTCTTTCCCTCTGCCCCTCTTTCCCTCAGTCCCTCTTTCCCTCTGTCCTTCTTTCCCTCAGTTCCTCTTTCCTTCTTTCCCTCTGTCCCTCTTTCACTCTTTCCCCCTTTCCATCTTTCCCTCTTTCCCTCTTTTCCTTTTTCCTTCTGTCCCTCTTTCCATCTTTCCCTCTGTTCCTCTTTCCATCTTGTGAGTATCAGATTTTACAAGACCCCCAAAATTTAAACTACCCCTTCTTGATGTTAAGAATACGTTTACTCTTTGTCTCCATTCCATCCAAAACTCCGTGTTGCTCACATGTTTGGCCCATAGTATCCTCAGCATCATTCTGTAGAACAACATTTCTGTTGCTTTGAGTCTCTTCCTCTTCAAAGATATTGTCCAGCATTCACTGTCATACAGGATGACAGCTATCACGTAACAGTTTAGTACCCTTTTCTTTGTTTACAACGAAATTTTTCTCTCTCTTAATAATCTGCTTTATTTTTGGAAGGCATATTTGGCCATCCAAATACTTCTTCGGATCTCAGTGTCACACTTTCCGTTCTCTGTTAGGACACTTCCCAGATATTTAAATTTCTGTACCTGCTTGGTTTTAGTGTCCCCAACCTGTAAATTGCATTTTGGGCTCAAGTTTTTGCTGATGACCATGCATTCTGTCTTCTTGTAGTTTATGCTACCTTATCTACGAATTTCTAGAGTTTTATTTCTGACATACCGTTTAAATAACGAGTAATAGAATTCATATCTAATTACAAATCGAGGATACCAATATATATTATCGTATAGTTATTTACCCCATTCTCTCCGCTTGGACGAGATATGACACAAGGTCGGGCTTAATGTGCGGGAACCCGAGTGCATACACTCGGAGTAAGGAAAAAAATTGCCCAGCTCCAGCAAACGCTGATTTTGTTGGCATCGGTATGACTACTGATCCTCCATCTTTAGTGTAATTTTTTGATGCAGCCTCGGGTAGATCGTTCCCGGGACCGGGAACATCACAGTATTTATTTTCTCCAGCTGTGTGTCTGTTCGCAGACTGAGCCACAACTGAGTCGCACTCTGTCAGAATGAATGGTCGTTAGCAAAAGGGACAACCCAAAATGAAAATTACAAATCGGGGATACTAAAATCAAACAAGCAGAAAATTGAAATATCTGGGAAGTGTTTTAATAGTTGCTGCTTTGAATACTACTACCACATCTGGTCTGCTGCTCCTGTTATATATTTAGAGATTCTTGATAAAATCCAAAGAAGAATCTGCAATGTTATTGGTTCTGACCTGGCATCTCGCTTTCAGTCCCTTTCCCGCTGCCGTAATTAGCTTTCCTGAAGCTTTTCTATAAATATTTTCATGGTAATTGTCCTGATGATCTCTCCTCTATAATACCTAGACTTTACAAATTTAAGCGCAGTACTAGATTGCCGGCAAGGTCTCATTTTTTACAGTTGAAATTGCTAGATGTAACCGAAAGTTCTATGCTAGCAGTTTCTTCTATCGCACTTCTCGTTTGTTGAACTACCTTCCAGTTTCTTGCTTCCGAGTCAACTTTGATCTTGAAATGTCAATTGTTATCAATTCTCTTCTTAATTCTTGTTCTTTTATTCTCTCTCTCTTCAATAGTGTTTTTTTCTCGTATTCTCTAAGACTCAGTAATCCCTTGCGTCTTAGTAGCTATATTGCCTTGCTTGGAGTGAAAAGATTAAATATATATACGTATATGGCCTGACAATTGCGTTTAGCATGGAACAGACTGTCACCTTAGCTACTGAATTCAATGTTGACTTTTATATTTACATAAGCTCTATCCATGATATTGAGCACTTTAACCCATAAATATAGCATATCTCAAAGGGTATTTTATTTTATATATATATATATATATATATATATATATATATATATATATATATATATATATTAATGCATATTTTGGCACTAGCCTTTCTTTTAAACATCTTTCGTTAAATATGACAGACAATGAAATTTAATTAATTTTTATTTAGATTTCTAGTGTTCTTACATTTTCCCGTTCGGTGGGAGTAAGCGGGTGCAAAAATTGCCCATAGGTCCCAAGCGCTTTCGGCCATTTCTCTAGTTATTTTTGTGGGGAGTGGGGCGTTTTTATGTGTTGTTAATTTCTCTTCATGCTCGACTATTTACGATGTGATTTTTTTGTTATTGTTTTGTATAGTAGTAGCGTAGTAGAGCGTTTATTCGGAGCCTTCGCTTGTTGAGCGCGGCTTGAATTCGAGTGAGAGTCTGCCAATTTTTAAAAAAATTTTCAATACACTATTCCAATTGTTAAATAACGTGGTATATTCACTATCGTTCAAAAGTTTGGCACCACACTGAATTGTTTCTTTAAGTTTATAAAAACGCCTAATTTTGTCTATTCCGATAAATAAACTCACCTCTTGTGTATATATGCACACTCTTATATAAAATTAAAACTAATTTTTCTACAAGCATTATATATTTATTTGCATAAGCTCTGGACATTTTGATAAAACCTGATACCTTGTTTTTAACGGTAGAGAAGAAATTTACAAATGTTTCAACTCCAGTGCTTGGTAGAGGTTGTGGGAACATTGTTATTATTATAAATGAAAAAAACAAATTAATGATGATGATGAAAACTATAAATAAAATAAAATTTAAACCTCGTTTAAAACAAATAAAAAAAAAACTCCCAGCATGCAACAGCGATTATTTCTACCGGAAGTACAGACATTTCGCCAAGAGACGTGAGATTTAAACTCTTCACTCAAGAACTGTCATAATAACAACACGTGTATAGCTTCCCTCCATGATAGGACTTGTGATATTACGGAGTGATTTACTCCCTTCTATAACATGAACCTTATGACGATTTTAATATAAAACACACATACACCAATAAATACACGCAAATACATAAATACAATTGTATGAAACTACAATACAATTTACCATGTTCTTTTTTTTTATTGTCATGTACGTTTGTTTGTTCTCTTTTTCCGTGTGAACACAAGTCCAAACTTATGATCACATAGTGTTAGTTAATATACCTCCACAAGATTCAATTCCGGCTAGATTAATGTGTGATTGAAATTAATACTAAACAGATTAATATTGAAAAAAAGAGCCTAAGTGGAAATTCTTTCAATAGAAGGGTATCTCGAACGTCAGTTTACTAGAAAATGACAGATTTCAAAACATGGGGTGCATTATTGTCTGCAGTGACATGAAGAAACCAACGCAAATGTTGACAGAAAAACATCTGGAAGGCCCAGAATAACATCTGTTGTGGAGGATAGACATTTGAAACATCTGTTGCGGAGGATAAATATTTGAAACATCTGTTGCGGAGGATAGATATTTGAAACAGAAAAAAATAAATGTATTTCTTTAAAGGTAAGATAGTTTTAAGTGTAGAGGAAAAAATCACTGTGATTTCAAACTTTTTGTCCGTAGTGTATATATGTAACACTCGTACGAAAACACTTGATGAGTGTTTAAAATGAGGCTTACATTTCCTATTTGGCTTAAAATTATTACCAATGTGTGTATTCGTTCTTTACTTAAACAGGCAGCCTTGAAATGAGGTTTGGGTTGAGGTGTCACCATCTGGGATGCCATCTTTATTGCAATCGGACATTTTTCTTCATTTTTTTTTCTTTTTTTCCTAGCACACCTCACTTCCTAACCCACATTATTTTTTCTTTATTTTCATCCCCAATTTTAAATCAACACCTTTCGACTTCCTCACGAACTATCTCCACACCTACCGATCATTTCATTCTTTCTCCTACCCTTCCAAACCCAAAGCTGCCACCACTTGTGTTGATTAACTGAAAAATGCCCGGACCACCACCACAACAACATCCATACAACAGCATCAGAAAATATATATATATATATATATATATATATATATATATATATATATATATATATATGTATTCTTTTCAAAACTATCTTGTTCGTAAACATGTCTCAAGTACCCTACAACTTGAGAACTTGTCTAAAGCTGTGAAATATATGAATATATATATATATACACATGTACATGAGTACATAGTATTTGGTTCATCTGCTCGTATCCGACGAATTTCATGTCATTTTCTTCTCCAGCTTAACCTTTTTTCTTTTTCACCAAACCTCTCGCCCCCCACCCACGCATATCAATGTTTTCGACTTCGTTGCTAGCGCTTTCACGTGTTTTTCTCTGTTGATTTGTGGTATTAAGTGCCGTGGCTTTTGGCGAGCAATTGGAAAAGAATTTCGAGGGGTTTTCTTTCTCCTGAAATAAAATTACATACTTAAAAAATGTACAAGAAAAATATTCAACTATATCAACACTTTATGTCTGCTACATATCTATCTATCTATCTATCTATCTATCTATCTATCTATCTATCTTAGTCTGTTTTTAACTATCTATTTCAGTCTGTTCACCTTTCTCTCTATTTCCGCCTGTTCATATCTATCTATCTATCTATCTATCTATCTATCTATCTATCTTAGTCTGTTTTTAACTATCTATCTATTTCAGTCTGTTCACCTTTCTCTCTATTTCCGCCTGTTCATATCTATCTATCTATCTATCTATCTATCTATCTATTTCAGTCTGTTCACCTTTCTCTCTATTTCCGTCTGTTCATATCTATCTATCTATCTATCTATCTATCTATCTATCTATCTTAGTCTGTTTTTAACTATCTATCTATTTCAGTCTGTTCACCTTTCTCTCTATTTCCGTCTGTTCATATCTATCTATCTATCTATCTATCTATCTATCTATCTATCTATCTATCTATCTATCTATCTCTTCCGGTGCTTTGTCGACGATATATTAAAAAAGTAGACTTTGAATGTAGAAGAAAACTGGTTCTTTATATGAATTGAAAAGCTATGTTTTGCTTCTTGTAAATGGGATTACAACAGCAGTTATCATTCAACACAGTCCTTAACCATTGAATAATCGCAGTCATGCTTCTAACCTCTGACCTATGCCCTCTTGTTTCGTATGGATATTTATACAGCATTTTCTCGCCAACGAACAACAGCATCTAAAACAATTTGAATCTGAACAATGCAGTCAACCTTGGAAGGTTTTTGTAAAAGACACACAAGCGCATTACGACAAGAAAGGCGTGGCCTTTTTGTTGGTTCATTTCACATATTTGTAATTGACTGAGAATAACAGAAACAATCAGATATTAAAGCTAGCTGAACGACATTCCATCGTTTTCTACAACGCCAGTAAAAGTCATAAAAGAAAACGTGTATAACTCGAATACACAAAAGTTCTTTGATCCCGGGGAAAGCCGAATCCATTTAAAAAAAAACACTATATTTTGTTTCTTTGTTACATTATCTTGTATGGACGCTTCCTATTAAAATAAAGTATAGGCGTTACGTTTCACACACACACGCACACACACATACACACACAAAAAGATTAAAAAAACAACAACATTAAAACACAAAAAATCATAGCAATAAAAAAATTGCCTAAATGTCCTTAAGGAAAAGAATTCGCATCGACGTATTGTAAAATTACACGGATGTAATAGCACAGGGAAAGGAATCAGAAACGTACTTTTGTGAATCAAATAAAGGTTCCCGTTCGATGTCTTTGGGACGTTACTGAATACGACAGAGTAGAGCAGTCGAAACATTGTTAGAAAGAACCGAATGAAGCATTGCGTGGTGCGCACTTCTTATTAAAAATAAGTTGAAAAATTATCATCAGCGGTCGATTTTAATTAAAAGTTGCTAAGTCGATTAGAAGGCTACACTGGAGAGGCACTCGATGGAGTCTGAACTCACGATGACTTAAGAGATAAACACTTTAACTATAGCTTTACCTTTGCCCCCCCCCACTCATCCACACGCAGTATTTACAAGAATAGTAACAAAACAAGAAGAGTTTAATTCATAAAATATACTTGCAAAAAAAAAAAAAAAAAAAAAAAAAGAAAAGAAAAATAACGCTGGAGCTTTCGAAAGAAAATGATTTGTCACTCCATCAGTACCGTCCCAGAAAATGTAATAAAGATACGTAATAATAATAATAATAATAATAAAAATAATGAAGAGAGTGAGAAATCTTGAAGAGACTTGCTGTTACTTGACCTCCAGTGTTGTCCACCGGATCCTGTGTGTGTAAAGAGTCAACGAGTATAATAGATAATTAACGCGCAAGGAACAAAGTTAACATTGTGAAAGCCAGATAAACGAGTAGAGACCTGGGTTTCTAGTGAAGAATGCAGAAGTCAGTGACGCGACATGAATACAATTGACTGGCATTTTTCTTCTGTATGCCGTTTCATTTTTCAGAGTTGCGTCAGCGTCTTCGCCTACTTCGTCTTAAATTGTTCCTAACTGAAGAAGAACGCGCGTAGGAATAATAATAATAATAATAATAATAATAATAATAATAACAACAACAACTAGAAAAGAAATCTCACTAGATCATGAGACGGAAAATTACCCATAACGCTTGGACGCCTTGATAAACTATTCCTGTTCGTGATGAACGAATAAAATAGAAAATAACCACAAGAAAATTAAATGGAGCCAATCCTCGTGTTCTTAAGAATACGACAAATTGAGTGAAGACATATACACGTGGGTTGTTTTCGCCTGATTCGTTTGCAACATTTTTTTACTCTTGCTGTTGCAAATGTTTTCTGTTGATATTAATTTGTCGAATGTACAACCCGATGCTGGTCGTGTCGTTACGTTTTTACGGCTTATAGCAGCAACAACAACAACACAGTCAGGTCCGGTTGTCGCAAAGACACACTTAAGAGCTAAAAAGAAATCATAACGATCACGTCTTATCATCACTGGAATGTAAGAGGAAAAAATAGCGAAGAAGAAGGAGAAGAAGAAGGAAGAGGAGGAGGTGGAAGAGGATGAGGAGAAAAAGAATAAGAAAAAGAAGTTAAAAACGTCAAAAGAACAATTGAAACAACAAAGGGATATAATTTGAAGATAGAGATATTAAACGACTCAGTTTTATCTAATCTCCACAGGAGATAGAGATCATCCCTTTTGGTAGCGACGTGACAACACCGTGTCTGTTCTTGTAAAAAAAAAAAGGCCTTATTTTTATTTTTTTTTTAATCCAATGCAATTTCCTGTTGCTTTGGAACCAATACAGCACACTTCTTACGAAAACGACACCAGTTTGGTTGGTTAGTAACATAGAAATAAAGTTGATACGAACAATACAAGTGTCGTATGAAGCAGACGTCAACACAAATCGTTGGAACAGACAGTTGATAAATGATCGAACAAAGCTGAGGTTGTTATAATAGTAAGTACGAAATTTCTATTTATTTTTAATAGACTCTTGATGATTCTATACGTACAATTTATGCATATTTGAGTAAAAAGTAACTTAAAATATTTGACTAGTACTGACTTCTACAATTGTTTTGTTCTTGTGGCTATTACAGCTACAGTCAACGACGAAATTATTATTATTTTTATCCATTTCTCAGAATCTAACTCCAGTAGGATGCCAGGTTTTTTTTTATATGTTAATAAGCACAAGAAAAGGAATATAAAACTCGATTTTCAGAACAATACATTAAATACAACAAATTTGACAGGCGAATTATGCAAAATAGGAAAAGACAAAATTGAAAAAAAGAAAAAGCGAGAAATGCACACCGTAATTTCTTTTGTTCAATTTCTTTTCGAAAAAGAAAATGTTTTCGTCTCCATTAAAATTTTCGTCCAATCTCTTCACCTTTTAGTTACTGCTTTTCAATTATTTCATGGACAAGAACAAATTACCTCTACAGTAAATAATTAACATATCTATACATGTGATTAACCCTCCCACCTATCTCCGTGCCCCTATAAACATCACACACATAGACACATGTCTCTATATTTATGGCTATTTATAGTGTTAGGTTAGCATTAAATTCTTTTATTATCCAAAAGCAAATCCGTCTAATTTATACTTTCGTATTATCTTCAATCTTTCGATTTGTTGTCAGAAAACCTAAACCGTTCTAAAATAATTTAAAACAGATTTTCAGACGATTATCCCTTGGCTCAAAAATGTTCATTATTTCAATGTCAGTTTAAATTTCGTTAGGCAAATTTTAATTTCTTATATATTGGCTAACAATTCCTAATACATATATTGGCTAAACATTTTTAAAACATATATTTGCCTATAATTTCTAATACATATATGAACTAAAATGTCTAATACATAATCATCGATGAAATTATTCGTGCACTCATCTATTTTTAATATTTCTTAGAATCTAATGCCCGTATGTTGCCAGGTTTTAATATGTTAATAAGCACAAGAAAAGGAATATAAAACTTAATTTTCAGAACAATAGGTTTAATACAGCAAATTTGACAGTCAATATTCCTTTTTGTGTGGTTATTTATATATAAAAAAAACCTTGCCTCAGATTCTGAGAAATGGATTAAAATATTCAAAATTGGTGGGTGTACGAATAATTTCGTCGTTGAATGTATCTCATAGGTTTTCAGTAAAAATGTTACGAAATAATAATTCATAAGCGAGTTTTGTTGGAAAACACGCGAAACTAATTTAATTGGTAATTTTCGGTGTCTTTTGTCGAAGGTTTACTTTGACTGTCGATCTGCGGCAGAGAATTCGTACGACTCGAAAATAAAAGACACGCTCTGGTTAAGACGCGAACTTACGGCGTCTTTATTTCGGTAAAGCCTGGTTGTTGGAGTTTCAACCGGAGCGCGACATTTCATAATTTCGCTCATTGCCTTAAACTGACGGTCCGAGTAAAACAGTGAAACTAAGTTAAAAGGAAATTCTTCTTCTTCTATGTGCCGTATCTCTTCAAGGAGGTACGGTGGAGTAATGGATAGCGGCTTGGATTGAGGAATTGGAGAAGAGTCGAAGCCATTACATTCACTTACGTGCTTGGGAAAGGTGTGAATCCTCTTCTTCTCCCTCCAGCTATGGGTAAATAGCAGGACAGACTGGGTTCTATAGCCTTGGATGGCAACTGGTCTAGGAGAAGGAAAACTCTGAATTCAAAACCTGCGGAGGGTGAATGGAGTCTCTCTGGGCCTTGGTTGGCAATCCATTTAGTGATGGTGTCACGATAAAAACACCCTTGATAGTCCTAGAATCCAGCTATTTGACAAGATTATGAACTACACCAATCAAAGTATTAGCTATGACAGATAAGGAATACTGGAAAGGTGTAGTGAGTTCAATCTCGCCTGAGGCCGCAAGATGGTAATCTCTTCAAAAACGTGGGCGATCATTGCTCTCCACCACTTCCTATCCTTTGTAGCGCTAAGTAATGTTTTTCTTTTCCTTATCACTTCCTGTTCTTCGATTCATATATCACAAGATCGTTAGGCAGGTTACCTTGTTTCCTTCTGTTCCCCTTGACTGAAATGTCATGTGAGTGTTAAATTCTCTAAACTATCTTTCCTCATTACGTGTCCTAGAGATTTTAGCTGTTTTTTTCTGATACCGAATATAAGCGTCGTTTTTGTTTCCTTTTTCATTAAATATTCATCGTTACTCACATGTTCAGTCTATGGTATTCTTTGTATTCTGTTGTGGAAACGCTTCTTCTGATTATCCAGCACATATAGCCGTTTATAATAACCAATATTACATCACAGTTCAACACTCTTTTCTTTACTTGGATTATTTACATCATTCTGATTGTCATCCTCATCTTAATTACCACATTCATAACGTTTCGGACGTTGTACGCTCCGGCCATCTTCAGGTGAATGGAATTTCGGACTGAACCGTTTATTTCGTCCACCCGGGTAGATAGTTCTAGTTCCACGTGCCATACCTCTACACCGGTGGAC